CCTGGGCTCCACACTCTGGTGGGGCCGCCCGGGCGGGGAGGGACCAAAGCGCCTCCCAAGCCAGAGGGGCGGGGCCGGCGCCGGCGAGCCGCGGCCCCCAAACCCTGCAGAGCCTGACGGTCCGTGCGGGCCTCAGAGCCTCTGCGTCCGGGCTCCCCCTGGGCAGGGTCGTGAGACTCCCTGGTGGGCCCCGGGCGCTGATGGCTGCCGGATGTTCCGCCACCCCGAGTGGCCGAGAAGCACCAGGTCAGAGCGCGGGAGAGTCTGGGCACGTGGGAAGCGGGGTGGCGCGGGCCGCCAGGCAGAGTCTCGTGGGCAGCTTGTGAGAGAAGGGCAGGTTCGCGTCGGAGGGCTGAGCATCCCTGCTCGGGGCACACAGGGGAGACGGCGGGCGGGTAGGAAGTCAGAAAATACGGATCTGGTATGAGATGCCTCAGGTGAGCTCATCCATCAGCAGTGAGACAGGGAAAATAAAACCCTTATGACCCAAGCACCCAGTGTGACTGGACCTTTAGGGGAAGACTTTTAATTTGTTCCAGGTTAATTCTAACCAATTCTTTTGAATCGACAAAGCCAGGCTGGAGAGGAGGGTGGAAGAGACCCATGTTGTCAGTAGTCTTCGGCTCTGGTCCACAGCCTGGCCCCCCAGGCGGCAGGGCAGACCAAGGGCCGGCCTCTCCCGGAGCCCTGGGTCTGCACAGCCCTGCTTAGCAGCCACGTGTGGCCACGGGGCCTTGGCCGCAGCAGGGGTTGTGGAGATACGAAAGCTCAAAAGTGTGTTTAAATTAAGTAAAACCTGTGGTCAGTGAGGAGTAGCCTGACAGCACCTCTGAGCAGTGCGGGCCCCCATCCGTCTTCTCTGGCTGGAGGGGCTGTTCCCTGTGCAGTGTGCCGCCTTTTTATGGAACTGTCCATGCATCTTATAGTCAAATGAAAGCAAGATTGCCCACGTCTCTTCCCTTGACAGAGACTCCAATTAGACTTTCCTGAACCAATGCCTTTGATTCCGGGCTCTTTCTTGACATACACCCGTGAGGAGTCCTACTTCCTTGGTTTCTGGATGAAGCCTGTCCCTGGAATTGTGGACACACCAAGAGGCTTTAGTCTTCTGTCTGATTATCCCCGATGTTTTCCACAGCCTGGGGAGGGTCCACTCGCTGGGCTCTGAGGTCAGGGTCAGCACTTGCCTTCCTGCCAACGTCAAGTCCTGTCCTACCAGGCCCTGCACATCACAAAGGGGGTTGATTCAGCCAGGGACTTTAGGGGCCTTCTCCTTAATGCCCAGGGAATCTGAATGTGCCCTGAGGATGAAGAGAAATAGATTGCTCTCGCAAGTGATCTCTACAATCATCTTCTGTGCTCAGGCGAGGAAACACGGTTTTAATATTTCTTCTGAAAATTCCTCTCTTTGTCTTCTTTTAGCCTCTGTTTTTCTCTCTCCCCCAGGAGGATTCTAATCAGAGTTTAACAAGGTCATCACAGTCGTTGTAATTTTGCTTTTGTATTTCCAAGGCATAATGTTAAAATTACCAAACGTGTTCATCTTGGCACCTCCATAAGCAGTAATATACCCTCAGCTCAGGATTTACGCGGTTAGTTTAGACGTGGCCCATTTGTGATGTTAAGGAAACAGTTTTCTGAAGCAGCTGTAGTCCCCAAATGCAGGGCTGTGGGTGTCACTTAACATCAGCTATAAGTGAGGCAAAGGACGTGAGAGTTAGTGGCAGGCTGCACGTCAGGTTGTGCCTGGGTGGTTCGGCTTTTCAGTGATGCCGCCTGACGCACGGATGTTCCCGCCATGAGACCACCATTCCGGAAAGCAGTTCTTCCTTCAGGCACACGGGCTCGCCAGGCATTTCTAGAACCCTGACCCTTCGTGTGGTGCCGGGGAAGAAGAGGGGGAGGGAAAGGTCC